CCCCCCCCCCCCCCATCACCTCCAAAGAAACCTCCTTTACACTCTCTATCTCCTCTCTTCTGCCCCCCCCACACACACACACACAGCCCCTCCCCACTATGCACTTATTTTCTCGCTCACCCGCTTGTCTCTTTGTGTACTGTATGCGTTCACATGTGTGTGTGTGTGTGTGCTTGAGTGCACTCTTTGCATTGATGGTGTCTCGGTCTGAACGCCAACAACAGGCAGATCTACAGAGGGGAATTTATGACCATTGTTAGGGCAATTCATTGTAGCCCATTAGATCTTGAGTAGCCCCGTGTTACAGCTGGTTTACACACGCCTTTGTGTGAGTGTGTGTGTGTTTCAGAGCTTTACGATGGACTTTATGTGTACATGTGATACAGAGGGGAAACGGACTTGACAGGAGAATCAGAATAGAGATGAATAAAGGCATGAATGTGCATTGCATGTTGTAAATAACGTCTCTTTTTATTGGTCCACCCCCCCCCTCTGCCTCCCACCATCTCACTCCATCCTCCATGTCATCTCAGGTGAATCATCTCCCTCCGCTCGTGTTTACTCATCCTCTCCTTCCCTTCATCCCTCCTCTCTGCCCTCCTCTCTCCGCGAGTTTCATCTCGCTGGTTTAATACCTGCCGCTCCCGTCGGGGGGATTTCATGACTTTATCAACCAACAGCGTAGGACAAAGGGCCGGTTAGGCAAAGTCAGATAATTGACAGCCAACATCGGCCGGCTGAACTCTGATTTAACATAAACACATACATCACTAAGTCATCATCGTTTCTCAGAGAAACAGCAACCTGTTCACCTGAATCCAAAATAAATGCATCCAGTTAGTAGTTTACATTCTGTAATAAAATCTCTATTTAGTAACTTGGATCATTACAGCCGATGTCCGCCATTCCCATGCTGGATCCAAATTCCCATACCGACACCTCCAGTTACCAAATCAACCACGACATAAATGGAAAACGTCATAATTCTCTCTTTGTCATTGTGAAAATAGAAAGGAGTGTTAGAGCTGCAGCTACATTCATTCAGTCAGAGCCAGCTGCAGGTCTTACTCAACAGCCCCGCTGGCCTCGTGTCGCCTTACATAAAAGAAATATTATGACGAGTTCTCAGCAGTGAGGTGATGAGGACTTGGTATCGGCACATCCTCTGAGTTGAGGTATCTGAATCAGTTTGTGATTGTTTCTCAATAACTGAAGATGTAATTGATAACAACAACGTTAGATTAATGTTCTGTTGATCAAAAAATAAATCAAGACGCGGCTTCTTCCCTCTCAACACTCTGCAGCTGCACACAAACGGAGGAAGTCCACATGTGGTTGGTGCTGTGCCAAAAATAAAGTATGATGTCATATTAAATCATGGACAAAAGAATCGCATGAGCGCTCTTGCTCGCATGAAGACACACACACACTCACACACACTCACACACATACGCACGCAGATTCATATCAAATATTCAATAAGAAATATTATAGCTAATCATGAAATATTAAACGCTGCAAAAAAAAAAAAAAAACACTTTTCTGCACTGAGTCACGTGAAAACACACGGACAGACACACACACACACACACACACACAGACTGTATAATTCATTTCTCGTCTCTGCATCAAATCTGCTTCTGTCTCCATGGCAACCTTTCTAGGCCAGGGAAACGGCCGATCAGAGAGAAATGATAAATAACGGAGGAGGACAAAAAGAGATGAAGAAGAGGGGAAGAGAGGGACAAAATGTCTGGAGAGGGGAAGTCGAGCAGCGAGGAACCGTTTGTGTGTGAGTGTGAGTGTGTGTGTGTGTGTGTGTGTGTGTGTGTGTGTCATCTGTGGTCGAAATACTCTGCGACCCCGCTGCTGGGACGATCGTGTACACATCCTTCAGAGTCACATAAACACAACCGGTGGAGCGTGACCACCCGGCTGGCTCCCAGGAACACCACACGGCCTTCCTTGCCTAAACTAGACTCGAGTGGACTCGCTTGGTGCAGTGTCGGTCGATTAACAGTCACGCTGGCTGCTGTCCAATGAAAACTCGTGAGACAAGTAGCCATGTTTTCTGCTGTACCTGCGATACATTTGTGACGTCATCATCTTTCAAGGGTTTCCTCAGACTTCTCTCCAAACTCACAGTGGAGCATAATCACCTTTTTAAATAATCAGAAATATAATGATTTCACACCACAACTGCAACACACAGTTAACTGTGTTAACTGTGACAGGAGCGCACAAATAACTGAGCTCCAGTAACTGATACTGTATATCTTGACATTTCACTGTTGTTTCTAAGCTAGAATGAGAATGAATTGCTCTGTTATAATCCCCCTCTACGGTGTTTTTATCAGCTGCTATGGCAATAGCGACAGAAGTGAGCTGCAGCAACGGCCCCTGTCTGGACTGGAACCTGGAACACAGCCGCTACAAACACTCCCATAACTTTGATTGTCTGTTTTTAGGCGTTACTGGTGGTGTGGAAGCATGTAACAGTGAAATGAATGGCTGTTCCCATCAGCTTTTATTGCAACTTTTCAACTTTATTTTGGCATATTAACTTTTATTTTTGTTTCATTTCTGGCCCCAGCTTGTTAATGTGCACATTTAAAATGGGCATGGAGAGAAACATAAATATGAATGCAAGAAAATGGACAGCACCATGTGTGCACATAATGTTAATATGGGTCCCTATGTGACTCAAACACAGTGTCCGTTCTGTGCAGTTTTAGCGATAATCTCCATGCAGCTGTGCAGCAACAGGCTGTATCACACCGAGCCAGCAAAATCAGTGCCCTCTCCATCCCCAGAGATAGATATTCTATTTAAGGCTATAGTGCAATTCCTTTAATAGAGAATGATTAAATATATTGACCTTTACTCACTCACGCATTCTTAATAGAACAAATCTTATAGTCGCAGCTGTTGCACGGGAAAATGAGGTTGAACACCTTCCTATAAACACACGACTTTATTCTAAACGCGTAGACTCTAATGGGGGGGTTGACCTCTCACCTGCAGACGAGCGTGGCGATGATGACGCACCAGGCGGTGCAGCAGCAGTCGGCGCTGGGCTGCTGGGAGTGCGTGCGAGAGTGCGAGGAGTCGTCGCTCTTGCGTCGCCGGCAGCAGAGCCAGAATGAGTAGAAGAGGAGGAAGAGGAGGTCCAGGCCCAGGCACAGCAACGCCACCGCCCCGAGCAGCAAGATGGACTGCAGAGAAAGAAAACAATTAGTGGAAACAAAACAATGTATGACATCGCAATACAGTTTAAGTCACGATTTTACCGTCAAAGTCTGAGCTTGAACAGCCCTTATCACGGGGGACGATTCAGGAAGTGAGTTAAATATACAGGAAGCAAATCAGCTGATAGGAGCAGAAACCAGATAGTGAGAAGACGGACCACATGAGTTAGTTTCTCCTGCGCGCACAGATACACGACTTGTGTTCCACCTCTCCGGCCATTTGAGGCCAGAAAATAGTGTCTGTTAGAACGGGGTGTTTGATGGATGCCATGAAAAACACATTTGCACACCATCAAACATGCATACCTCGACGGAGGGAGCGGACGCGATGCAGTTGGGGAGCTGTGTGTGTGTGCGCGCCAGAGACACACCACACAGATCACACACCCGCTGAAAGCTTTGAAGTGTGGAAGAAGGAAGGGGGTGGTGGGGGTAGACAGAGGGGGTCGTGAGAGGGGGAGGGGGGGAGGTGATATATTTGGAACAAAAAAGAGACTGAAGAGACAGAAAAGGATGTGAAAGACGATGACTGAAGCGAACACTAAAAAGGGAGAAATGGGTAAAGACAGAGATGAGGGCTGTTACAACGATTTGCCTGGGACTGACGACATCTTTTTTCTTTTTTATCACACACACAATGTTTTTCTTTCCCCCTCTTGGGATGTCTGGAAAAGTCATTGCACAGCGGGACCACAGAGAGACGAAGGCACGTTTCTGGAAAACCAAAATCTCCACCTGCTAGACTCCTTACAGTAGACAAAGGAGCCGCGCCACAGTGCTGCTAGAAACAGCAACAGCGTGAGTCTGGGGAGTCCTCTGACTCCGCCTCTAAGATCCTCGCAGACTTCCTAGATTCACAGGCTTCCTTTAAACTGCTCCCCTTTTTTCATGCTGACCTCAATTTTTTCCTCGCTTGCCAGCCAGCAATTTCCTCGCCCTGCGGCAAATGTATGCACCTCTACTGTAAATGTGTGTGTGTGTGTATTGTGTGAGTGCATGTGTGAGAAAAATGTATATTCATATTCAGAAATGCCTCAAATATAATGTGTTGATTCTTAACAATGTATCAGGGATGCAATCTTGGCAATGTGAAGCGTAATATTCTGGATCAGTGGTCGCAAGATGATTAACAGGATAGGCAGAAAACAAACACAATCATTTGAGGATTTTTCAGATTTTCTGGTGATCTTTTCGAGGGTTTTCTTGTGAATTACAGAATTTTTTTTATGTCTTCAGGCCTTGAAAAACTATAAAAAAAACAAAGAAAAAAATGAACTAAACTTGTGAACAATCAGTAGACATTTACAACCATTGAAGAGGGCTTGTAAGAAGACTTTATTATAATTTGAGCGATGACAAACAAACATTTTTTAATACGACACAAAAAGTCTACGGCCATGCAGACATGTTCAAAATGGTAACTCTAACAATGCGATGTTGAGCAGGTATAATGTCGACCACGCTCACCATCACAGATTAAAGACATGTTTAATATTTGTTGCATGAGTGATATTTAAATATTGTTGAGAAGATGAGAACCAAAACCAGACAGCGCTGTACGTGCGTTGATGCGTTTACTCTTGCGCACACAGGCATCTGTGAAGCAAATTAAGTTTTTCGACAGTGTGTTGAGAAGTTTGACGAACCCGTCAACATCCCGCATTGCTTCATGGCAAAAAACTCTGATTCTTCCATCAAGAATAATTCATCTCTGGGGCCTGATTTGGCTCTGGTGTTTTTCCTAAATTCAGACTAACCAGCCACACTACAACCAGCTGACATGCGGCTCCTCGCTTGTCAGTTCAAAGGCCCAAACCTCTGGTCACATCGACAAACAACGCAGCCTAATGATGAGGCCGGCATTTCCAAATGAACTCTGGCAGATGTATAACCGGGCCGGCGAAGGGTTCGGCAGCAATGCAGCGGGGCTAGTGGGTCACTGGAGCGCTACAGTAGAGAGGATACAATATGATGCGTAACAGGAAGTGACCTGCAGCGGTGTTACGGGACATCTGAAGGGACAGATGAGGGCTAATCCTCGAACGGCAGTCCAAAGCACAACCCTCGGTCCCCACGGAGGCATCGAAGCTCTTCTATTGTCTGAGGTCTCTAACCATGAGCCTACAGCTCGGAGGCGTTACAATATACTGTAAATGTTCACACTACTCAGGCGCTGGAGGAAACCCTTAGTTTAAATATTACAAAGTCATTTGTGGCTCTATCCCTTTACAACTCGCCATGCCTTTTTGATCGAGAAATCCATATATTATATCCATAAAGTCCATGTGCCATAAAAAGTTCTATTATCTTTTCTATCAACACGACTAAACAGCCAGACGTTTGACAAAAGGTTTATACATCTGCTGCTCTTAAATTTGATTTAAATTCATTCAATACGTTTAAGCTCTAATACAGTGCATGGCCCATGAAGTGCCCACCTAGAATACTGTAATGTTATGTGTAAATCTGTAAATAAGTCAAGTTAAAATGGTAAGAAATGGGCAAATATTGGATTCTTTTCACGGTCCAAGCACACACTTAAAATACTTTTTAAAAATTCACCGCGGGCCATTTAAAAACAGGCCTGCGGGCCACAGTTTGGCCGCTCCAAAGTTACGCAATAATCAGTACGGAATAGCTCGTATTTTTGTGTAATTTTTAGTCATTATTACTCTCTCATGGGAAAGCAGTTGGTGATGCCGGGCGGAGTGAGAGGAAATCAGTTGATTGCTTTTCTCCAACAGGTTGAAGAAGCTGAGGATGAGGAGGGGGGAGGAGGGGAGGAGGGGGAGGAGATAAGCTCTGTATATTCCTGGCATTATACTACGTTATTATCTATAGGCTTAGCGCTATAGACGCCGTGCTACGGTACGGCCATACTGTGCTGCTCCACTAATGCATTATTTGATCTCTTGTGTCTTTAAAATCAACATTGGGGCTTAAAACCATGAAGCTTGAAACGCATTAAGCTTTGAAAAATGAGAATGAAAGCTCTCGCTGTGTCACCATGTTTTCATCCGTCATAAACCACGCTACAGGAATGACACTAGGATGACACAGATACAGCGATGATAGAGGGAAGTCACACGACAGAGAACGTGTGATATTATCATTATGAATTATCAGTTAAGAGCTTATCAGTTATCGACAAATATTTTGATAATCAATTCATCATTTCAGACATTTCTTTGTCATATATGACATTCAAATTAATACATTTGTTGTACTCTTGTTCTGATAGAACCAACCACATAACCTTTGGGAAATTAAAATAATCTTTTTATCCTATTTCTATATGACATAATGACACTAAAAAAGCGTCTACTTTGTAAACAAAGCAATAACAACTGGTCCAGGACTGGCCATGTCTGGTATACGGGCTTAAAGTTAAAACGTATAATCTGACCGAGGAGCAGGTCTCTGCTGCTCTTTGCTCCCACTGCGTACGATGGCCGCCAGATTAACCGTCAGCCTGACGAACCATCGCAGCAGATTAAGCGTGGATCAATTAGCCACTAATAAGCATGGTGATCTTAGGCATGCATGTGTGTGTGTGTGTGTGCACGCACAGCTATGCTACTGGAGATCACCTTGCACGTTGGAGGAGGAGGGGCTAAATGTTAAACACCCAGGCATAGTGATCTACTTTCAATCTGTCCATTTAAGTGTGTGTGTGTGTGTGTGTGTGTGTGTGTGTGTGTGTGTTTGAGCTGACAGGATCAATCACTTCCACCTTAGCGAGTTGTCCTTGCTCCCCCCCCCTGCCTGGGTGTTACTCTGCAGTCGGGGCCTTGCCGGCTATCCTCTCAACTTCTTTCCTGAGGCGCTGACTGACCCCCGGTCCATTCTGCTGTTATTCATCTGTACGACCGGGTCAGAGAGCAACCAAAACACAAACTCATTTCTAAATTTAAACCTTTTGAATTCCACTTTGATCCTTTTGAAAAAAAGCAATGCGATAACTTCTTCCACTGTGAAAACTGAAACGCATGATTCAATATAGCAATTACAGACTTTGCTTTCCGCAGCCGGGAATATGTGTTATTACAGGTCACATGAATCCTGTGTAATGTTCTGCAGCTGTTTAACTGTGGCCGGTAGCTGACTCTGCAGTTCTACCATAATACAAGCAGAGGAGCGCCTGCACACACACACACACACACACACACACACACACACACAGATAAACACACAAGCCTCAGGATGAGAGCTCCCATTTCAGCTCCTCAGGAGACAAAATTAAAAACTGTAAAAACATCCCTGAGTCAGCATCCCAAATAAAGTCAAAGTCATCAGAGACCAACTGCTCTTGTCTGTCTCTCTCTCTCTCTTTGTTTGTTGAAGAAGAAGAAACATGTCTGCATCGGATAGAAGAGGAACACGAGTGAGTGACATTGTGTGAGAAGAAAGTTTTGAGCAGCTTCAGAGCTCAAGAGCTGAATACAAATGAATCTGCGGCGAAAAACACTACACAGAAGAATCTCTCTCCATTGTGTGGGAGAGAGTGTGTGTGTGTGTGTGTGTGTGTGTGGTGACGGACTCGGTGCACTGAAGGACACTGTGTAGGACCTTGTTTGTGTGTGTGTGTGTGTGAGTTTCTCAGCTGGATGAGTGGATGCATGAAAGCCTTTGAGACAGATATACTGAGCCAATCTAAAGACGGGCCTCAGTGAAAGAGTGAAAGAAAGAAAGAGAGCATTCTTTCACAACAGACTCCAGCCCTCCCCTTCCCACTCTCTCCCCCCTTTCCCTCCCTCCTCATTCCCTCCCTCCATCGCCAATCCAATTCAACCTCCTTTTTCTTGTTTTTCTCACCCTCTATCCCTCCCTCTCCCTCCCCCCGTCTAGCCAGAATTAATGATTTCACCCTGAATAGAACCCCTATATTCACACACACAATAACACGCACACACACGCACACACACACACACACACAACCCCTGAGGGAGATCTGTGACCTCACCTCGACAAACAACACGAAGAGCTAAATACGCACTGACGCAGAAAGTGACCATACTGTATGTGGCGTCGTATACATGCAGCACGGAGAGCGTGCACCACTGCTGTTCATACAAGCAAACATACGACCATAGCGCAGGATGCTCGGTTTGCATAGAAACAGCCCCGTCGGCTTAACTATGTCAAGATGTAATTCGTCTAAAAAGGGGATCCTTAAAATTCTAGTGGTCACACACATTGACACACACACTCACAAAGGCCCTTAGTGAAACACTGAATAGCTCGCAGGAAGTGGCTATTTGGCACTTTAGAAGCACCTCCCATGGCCCATCCAGCCTTCTCTCTCCCTCTCCCTCTCTCCCCTCTCGCCTCCAATCAGTCTCTCTTTATCTTCCTCACTCCTCCTCGCTCCCCGCTTCCCTCTCCAGTTCCCATCTCCCTCCCTTGTTCGCGGCAGTGGGTGCCTTCCCACGCTCGGCTCTTGAACTCGCACGCCCTCCGTCCTCTCCCCCCGTACGTACATGTCAGCAGACTTACATTGAGGGGTGACCGCAGCCCATGAAATGTGGGATTCTAAACGATGTGGTCTTGGCCTTTTACTTTTTTTTTGTGGGGCTGTGTTTCCTGGTGCAGAGACCTGGAAGTCACCTTGTTTGAGGATTCAAATGAAATGCAGCAAAACTGGGCCAAAGCCCCATTTGTTTGAGATAGAGCTGCTCTCTAAGGCAGCGCTGCAGACTCAGTCAGAGTTTTCACGTTCATGCTTTTAAGGGTTCCAACCCCAGGTTATGGAACCACCTCACTTTTGATTAATCAGCTAATACATTCTGCACAACATATGTCCATAAAAATGATGGCGCAGGTAGGGGATCAGTGTCTTGATTCAAGGACATTTCTCTCTCTCACACACACACACACACACACACACACACAAAGCATTGATCGATGCCGGGAGGGAACCCACAACAACTCTGTGGTTGCAGGACAGCCGGGGGCCACCACTCTGCTGTGAAACGACAGTGTGCGCAGGTGCCAGGCGGTGGGACGATAAGGTGATGCTGCGTGATGAAGAGGATGATGAATCCCGAGTGGGAGGTAATTATTCCCCCGTTCTCGTCTTACCTTCTGGTACTCAGAGTCCTCCGGTCTGAAGTCACTGCTGACGAGCTGAAATTCGATGTTGAAATGAGGCATCCGGTGGAGCAGATTCACCCACCAGGGCGGAGAGTAGTTCACCACGGCCGCCATCCTGATCCAGCTACCTGCCGCCTGTCACTTCACTCTCAGAGCTGATTCCTCACAACGGACACTGTGGAGAGATTCACCGCCGTTGTGGGTTAACAGGGCAGAGAAAATGACTTCATGCACTGTTCTCACCGCCTGTCATGGCAGACGGAGGTAGAAAACTGCTCGTATCGATGTCATTCCGCCAAACACATTAAGTAAGATGAAGGTTCAGCATCCGCCGTCACCAAAAACACCAAAAGCCTAGTTCGGTCAACTGGAGTAATTACCGATGACTGGCGTTATTACAAAGCCAGTGTGATGAGTTATCTGTGATGAGTTATCTGTGATTCGTCAGCCACAGCGGTGGGACAAACATGCCAATCAAACATCAACACGCCGATATATTGTACACTCTCTTTTTTTTTTGCACACAGTTTTATTAAGATGTCCTATAAACTCCACATTAATGTGCATAGATTGAAAATATTTGAATCGTGAAATGCGTCCCTTCTAGCAGTTCTGTCTTTGTGTCTGTCTGTGCCCCTCAATGACACACTTGTGCATCCTGCTGTGCGGGTTAAAAATAGCTAAAACACTGCAATATGCAATATCACATTCATTTTAATTCTTTTTTTATTATTTGAAAGTGGAAATCTTTCATAATGACCTCAAACAATATGATTATTTTGCCCATTTAAAGGTCTGTTTTCCTTTGCAGTTGCTGGTGTATTGTGGGTAACAGCTTTGTCATATAATGTGCCTTTATCGTGACAACCGTGGGCAATATTAGTGTCATATAATCTGTCCTTCCCACTCTAATCACAAACAAACCATTAAATGTCCTGATATGATGATGATATTTATCCTAAAATTACATTTTAGGATATCCCATTGTGAGCACATATTAAACCAATGAGGTCATGCTGTATTTGGACATCCTGTACATGAATTATAACACGACAATAGCGTGGCTGACAGCTACCTCGCATCACCCAATTTACGCCCATACGGAGAAACACAGGCTTCCGCGAGATAAACGTGTCGTGCACGGTTTAAATAGCCGTTAAACCGAACCACGACTCTTTCTATTACACCGACTGTACTGTGCCAACGCATGTAGGTCGACTCAGTGGAGGGTATCCACGCAAAACAAAACGGATTAGCTGTCTTTATCCCGCTTTGTGCGTTAAAACTACCGCAGTCTCCGGGAGTCTGTGGGCATCACACAGCCGCAGACGAGGCACCGTGTGACCACCTTACCTCGGTGAAGCCAAAGCGGGTGCAGACTCTCGTTTGTTGGTGGAGTCTTTAGGAGTCCGAGGGCCGGCGGTGTGGTTCACCTATTGTCTTCTTCTATTCTTCTATTGTGGTGGATTTGAACACCACAGCCGTGCGCTGCTGCTGCATCAACGCGGCCGCACCGAGCTCGCTGCGGTCCCAACCACATCGAAAACAACGGAACGACGGTCACCGACCCGGTGCGCTCTCATTTCACCGAGACGCCCTCCTGTTTCCACTGCCTTCCCCCAGAGAGCAACAATGCCTCGGCCGATTAGGGGTTAAAGTCGTTGACCCGCAACGTTGTTACCGTTCACGCCGTCGTTGTTCTTTCCGCTCTTACACCGTATCGTCGGTCGGTGCTCGTCGGTGCTGTTCCCACGATGACCGTCGTCGAGTTGAAGAGAGTTTAGCGCCGCGGCTCTTCAATTGGATGATATTGTTGGAGCGTGAAGCGAACACGGTGTTTAAAGAAGCCCTGGAGGACGGGGCTTTGCGGCACAGCGCTCTCTCTCTCTCTCTCTCTCTCTCTCTCTGTGTGTGTGTGTGTGTGAGAGAGAGGGAGAGAGCAAATGCGCAAACACACCGCCCCTTAACGTTGAAACGATGGTAGTACATGTTACAGTCAGGAGCTTCATTAGTACATTTAATTAAGTACAATTTTGAGGTAGTTGTAGGCTACATTACTTGAGTATTTACATACTTTTTTTTACAATTACCAGCTGCAACATTTGTGATGCTTACTAATCATCATCCAATGATAATAACACACATATATATATATATGTTATAATGAAATGAGTCATTCTGCATAACGAGTACTTTTACTTTTGGTAGTTTAAGTGTATTTTGATGCTGATATTTATGTACTTAAGTAAGATTTGGAATGTATGACTTTCACTTGTAACAGAGTATTTTACATATGGAGATTGTTTTATGTTTGATTAAGTCAAATATTTGGAGTACTTCCTCCACCACTGCCTTTTATTTAAGTAAAATGAATGTGAATATCCTCAAATAAACACTCCTGCCTTACAAATCCTACTAGTACATGTGATCAACTATTCACAGTAAAATGTGCTGACAAGTATCAAAAGTGAAATTCTTGTTTTGCATAAAAAAAACTCTTCTGGGACTAATTTTGAGGCACTTATATTTGAGTACTCGCATTTACTGCTACTTTATCCTACAATTGTCTGGCAGCTGTAGTTACTAGTTACTTTGATCAAAATGTAACATACAAATCATATGATGGTCTGTTAAAATGTGTTGTTGTTAAACACAACAGTGTGTAAAATACCAATTGGGTGAACCTCAACCAACTAAACAATGCTGCTTACACGTCAGTGTATCAGTAATAATAATCCCATACTCTGACGGGGGCTATTCTGCCGCCCAAGGAGTACTTTTGATACTTTAAATAAATGTTTATAGCTTGGTATTGGTTCTTGGACAGCTCTGTCATTACTGATGCATTAATGTGCACATGTGCAGCATGTCGAGGTGGAGTTATTTTAAACAACTATCATGTGATTTTTATGATAAATCTTAATCTAAAAAAGTAACTGTAGTTGTCAAATAAATGATGTGTCAGTGCAGTGGAGTGTGGTAATACTGAAGTACAGTGCAAGTACCTCAAAATTGTAAAGTGCCAAAGTAAATATACTTTAATATTTCCACTGCTTTCCGATAAAAAAAAACACACACACATAAGAGGTTTCATTATAAAAACAGGATTTTTATTGAAAGTCTCAGACATTAAGTTACACACATCATGTGGGGGGGACTGCACTCATCCGTTGATCATTTGTCCATGATAGAGCACACACACATTACTCCCGGTGTATCCTCCACTGTACTGTGTGTTCAGTATTGCAGCAGAATGATCTATAATTTATTCACAGTTTGACTCAATAGAACTCTGAACTCATCAGTTCAGAGAATCGTCCCTCGATCATACCTCACAATCAGCCGTCGTTTTACGAAGCGCACACGATAGACGAGCGTAACGCCGTCTGCGTGTTACGAAGCAGGCAAGTCAAAATACGATCGAGCCCGTGAACTCCAGAGAAATTTAAAGTGGTGTGTCAGGTCATTTTAAGAGAAATTATTGCATTTATTACCGTAATTTGAATTATAATAACCATGCACTAGGCACTTTGGCACATATGATTAACCACAAGATCTTCAAATCAAATGGGATATCCATTTCATGTTTATGCAAGTGCTTTCTCCTGCACTGAAAGAGCATATCCTATTGCCTCACTTCAACACTGGGCTGCATTGAAGTATATGGAGAGTGTCAGAGTGAGGTGTTTATGTGCCTCGTAACGTCATGTCATAAACCTGCATCCGACGTCCCAGAATACTCTGCTTATTACTATGGAGAGAAAATGTTGTCCTGACTATCACAGCTATCGTTTGCAGGTTCAGTGAGAACCCAAACCATGAGGATTTGGTACCGTGTGTAGAAACACAGACAGACATTCTTCCTGCACACACTCTCTCTCTCTCGCTCTCACACACCCACCCACACACACACATACATACATAAAAACACACACACAACCCAGAAGGTCTATAAGATTAAGACTTCTCTGCTTCTCAGAGGACGTGACGGAGATACGATGATGTCGTCGGAGTCGTCAGAATCAACGGCTCCACCAGACTCAGCTGTGCACCGAAGCTCCGTTTGGTCTGCAGGAGACCAAATCAATATTAGTTGAATAATTAATCAACTGGGATTAATTCATTGCTTTGAAACCTATCAGCTTTCAAAAAAAAAAAAAATGAACACGTGACAGAAAGTGCAATCGATAGGTTGTTTTCAACATAAATATTTATGATTTTAAAAAGATTTGACTCTCATTTCAGCAGATTTTCCTCCAGCAAACATTTTCGTGACATCAAAGCTGAAAAATCAACTTTGGTTTAATACGTAGAAAACTGTGACACAAAGACCCCACCCCCTTTAACCTGTTGGTGGTGTCATCCTGGAGGAGTGAGTGCTAGAGACAAGCCAGGGGTCTTCTTCTTCTCCCCGCTTTCCACCGTCTTTATGGGGGGGGGTTACAAAGCAATTCAGACACACCCTCAAAATATACGCAATGATGACGAAGCTATGATATTATTAAATATATGGACCAAGCCATGGCATGCCTGTATGAAAGTTTTCATCTCACATACAATAACTCTGCATCATGCAAACGATTGCATGTTCATAACCAAAATGGCAACAAAAGCCGACGAGCCCGTGTCTGCTTCAGCCTTGAGCAATGACATCAGGTGCGTAAGCTAAAACTGGTGCAGTCCAAAATCTCTCAGGAAACATCAAATGCAGGGGCAGTCTTGTATAAAAAAAAAAATAAATAAAAAAAAACGCTGACATAGCAGCTCTGCTCGATGCACCCGTCTCATGTCGACCTATAAGCCAGTCGGGGAGATGGAGGAGGGAGCGACGGGGAAGCTGGTGGAGGTCTAACAAGGTCAGTCAGGTTAGGGCCGGTCCATGTGGAGAGAATCAACTCTCACAATATTTTCTACCTCCATATCGGTACTGACACGATACTGTAGGGTTGACTATTGGTACAATATTTACCCAATGACATTTTTGATAAATAATCAACATTTACAACAATTATGAAATACTCCAATATCCAAAACAAGCTATCTGATCTCATATCAGGACAGCGATAGATTAGGACAGGGATCTTGAACAGAGGGAACTTCTTTCGGGGTCATGTGAGGTAATGACATCACTGGTCCACAGGCCTGCTGAGTGTCAGTGTTTGACGGGGAGGCTGTGAAAGCTCGGTCTGGCGCAGAGGAGACAGGCACCGGGGGAATTAGATCAATGTGCCGGCAAGATCCATTTTGACTTGTGAGGTCGAGAGCAGGGGAGATGCCGCGGTGCTGCGTACCCGACAAAACATCCAGCCTGAACCCCCGACTGACACGCCTGAGTGGGGATGGTGTGTTTCCTGTCTAAGTAACATGACTTCTACGTCTCCGGCAGAAAGAAGACTCAACGCACGAGTCAAGGGGAAACTCACACATATACAAACACCACAGAAGCATTATACATATTCATTAAGCGCAGTATGCTATAAACACAACTGTAATGATTTGTGTGTTTGAAGTGTCATGTACTGTATATTTAGGGTAAGTAACAAGAAATGACTTAAAAGGTCCCAAATTGTAAAAAAGTGAGTCTTTTTTTATTATAAAGCCGGTCTGAGTGCTATATAAATACTGTGAAAGTATTCAAACGCTCAATCCATGGAGAAATACACATGGGCAATACTGAGACACTGTCCCTTTAAAGGAGCCGTCAGGATGTCAGTCACTATACAACATATAAACCAATACAACGTGTGTGTCCCAGATTATTTCTATTCATAGTTTATTCATAGCGTATGTAAATAACATCAGCTGACAGGAAGTAAACATGGAACCTAGCTGTGGCCGAGCGATGCAATTCCTTTGAAATGCGCCGTTTCAGACAGTAACGGACAGTATGAGAAAAACAGAGGTTTTGTTAAACATCAAAGCATGTAAACATGTTCTAGTAGAAACCCCAAACACAAGTATGAACCTGGAAATGAGCCCAATATGTCTCCTTTAAGCTGTGTTTAATCAGAGCTTTGGTGAAGATAGATGTGTAGCTACATGGGGAGAGAATGAGGACGACGGGGGAGCGGGAAAGGGTTTTTATATCTGTATTAAAACTTTTTCTTTCTTTGTTTTAAGCTACCGTTTGTTTCATAAACTTAGAATAAAGAATTGATCACTAAGAAGTATGTGTGAACCTCACCTGTTGTGCTGGGTGTGTGTGTTGAGCGAGCTCTTCGTGGCATCAGCGTGGGCATGTTGTTTCCCAGTGGAGAAGGCTCAGAGAACCCTGAACTACACACACACACACACACACACACACACACACACACACACACACACA